TGTATCTAATGTAATGTTTAGCTGTTTGTTACTATTTTACTTCAAGACAATGACTGCTGTTACTAGCCATCAGCACCTCCCAAAGCTGATAGATGAGATGCCTCCAGGATGTGCCAAGGATTTGGTTTTCCAATTATGTGGGCGCAGTGACAGGTTAGCATCTCATCATGCAATAAATATGTGAGTCCTGAGCAGTATTTTCTTTACTAACAAACATGTCTATAAGAATAGTGTATGACCCCTGTTATTGAGACTTTTGCGACACAGATTCATATTGGCAGTTATTTTTCTTCTAGGACTAACAGAACACCTCTAAAAGATGACTTCTATGCAATTTGTGCACTGAAGAAAGGCAAATCTACCAATGCTGACTATGAAGATGACCTTCTTTTATTTCTTGGTGTTGAATCAATTACTGATGTCACATTTTTCTCAAGGCTCCAAATTGGAAAAGCAGTGTTCCACTCCAGAGAATACAAGAGAGTTTCTAGAAGAAACAATTATACCATTGCTTGCCAGCAGGGAGACAGTATATGTTATGGGTACATTGAAACATTCTTTTCTGTCAGAGTGGCTTGTGGGGCCGTCAGTGCTCCTATGTCAATGTCTGGTCAGCATGTATGCAAAAGCCATGAAGGTCTGGGAAGCCCAATAAGCCACATTGTCTGTCTCCACGAGCCAAACAAGAACCAGTTCACAGTTGTCCCTCTCAAAGACTTTATTGACATATATGTTTATATCAAGTTTTCAGACTGTGGTGTGAGTTATGCAGCACATTTCCCAAACCATATTGAAAAAGACTAAAACTTATTCTTGGCTTTCCCTTAGCCCCAAGTGTAGTAAACCTAAATTCATGTACATTAAATTGTGGGGCTTTGTCAAGGAGTCTAATTCAAGTGAGGAATCTGCTGAGTTTCCACCTAGTAAAGAACTTACCAACACAAATGCTGCTTTTACAATAATTAACCCTTTAACTCCCATAAGTGACCAAGAAAGAATTTCTCCTTACAATATCAAGCAGACAAGTGATGTGAATAAAGAAAAATCTTAATTAGGAGACTATTGGTTGACCCAATACCAAATTCTCCAAACTCACAACACAAGAACTATATGGCAGACTATATGAAGAATTAACAATGAGATCTTGGGAGTTAAAGGGTTATGGTTTAACGATTTCATAGGTAAGTGATGCAAATGACAACATCATCTTTATGGATAGCCACCTCCACTTACCAAAAGGCACCTTACTTGCACAGTCTCAACGCAGTGACATTGAAGAACTATTAGACTGGCTGAAGTCAAAGCTATCTGCGACAGTGAATTTGTGTACGGTTACTTTCATCAACTTCAGGTAACACTGTGTGGTAAGAGATGCATGTAAACGTCAAACAACGGCAGTTGATCGAAAAGTTATATCGACATATTTCCAGTCGCAAAGAAGGTTAAGATGTGTGTCAGGTATAAATTTTATTGCATCTATTACATTTACGTTGTGTTGGGGGAAGCAATAGGGCGGTATTGCTTGGTACACTGTTACATTGAGCTTGTGTTGATCAAAAGAACGTTCACTTGAGCAAAACGACCGACAGATTCAAGACTAATTTCGATTGTAAAACAGCTTTTACTACCACAAGAGTTTACATCAAAAAGGTTTTCAAGTTTAAAGCATGTACTGAACAAATACCGTTGATGAAATGCGTTTGGTAAATAGAATTGCTGAAAGGAACAGGAACACGCAACGAGCTGTCTGGATAAATCTGGATCAGCTTTAGTTGAACAATGTCTAAAATAATTCTACTTACCCTTCAGATTTTTCCATAAGAGCGATTTGTTTCCAGCGTGGATGAAGTTTGCCCAAGAACGAACAAAACATCGTTTTACACTATTTGGGACTGATATCGATGTGATCTGACCGGAAAATTTTTTAATGGAGTCTGTTCTTATGGAAAAGTCTGATGGGTAAGTAGAATTATTGTAAACATAGTTCAACTAAAGCTGATTTAAATTTATCCAGACAGCACGCTGCGTGTTCCCCTTCCATTCACCAATTTTATTTACAAAACGCATTTCATCAATGGTATTTGTTCAGTACATGCTTTAAGCTTGAAAAGCTTTTCGATGTAAACTCTTGTGGTAGTAAAAGCTGTTTTGCAATCGAAATTAGTCTTAAATCTGTCGATCGTTTTGCCTAGGTGACCGTTCTTTTGATCGACATAACACCCTATTACTTCCCCAATACAACTTAGACGTAATAGATGCAAAAATATTTATACTTGACACATTACTTAACCTTCTTTGCGTCTGGAAGTATGTCGATATAACTTTACGATCAACCGCCGTTGTTTGACGTTTACATGCATTTCTTACTACACAGTGTTACCTGAAGTTGATGAAAGTAACCGCACACAAATTCACCGTCGCAGATAGCTTTAACTTCAGCCAGTTTAATAGTTCTTCAATGTCACTGCGTTGAGACTGTGCAAGAAAGGCGCCTTTTGGTAAGTGGAGATGGCTATACATTAAGATGATGTTGTCATTTGCATCACTTACAAATGAAATCGTTAAACCATTAATTATTGTAAAAGCAGCATTTGTGTTGGTTAGTCTTCTACTTAGGTGAAGACTCAGGGCAGATTCCTCACTTGAATTAGGCTCCTTAAAAAAAGAAACAGTTAACTCATCTTCATAGCTACAACTACCTAGGCTGCGTCTGACGAGAGGTATGGCTTCAACAACACCAAGAAATGATGGTGACTGCATGAAACTGTCATATGCTTGATTTCTCCCCATCATACATGCCATGAAGGCTAGAATCCAGCTTGGAGTCAGTGGTTGCTGGTTTGTCAGTTGAAGGAAGGATTTGTTTGTTAAGTATGTCTTTGCTAACTACAAAGAAATAACTGTACAAGCATTGCCGCCTTGATGAGTCCCAATTGTTGACTGAGAAAGGAAGGCTGGCAGTTCCCAGACTGTGACTGATTGTGTAGTTGAAGATGGAACATGTACTGAAGTAGATTGTGGTGGTACACTTAAGTTAGAAAACTGTTTTTGAGCTACTGATGGTGTTGTTGTTGAGATTGATTGTGTGATTGTAAATGGTAAGGGCGGGTAAGGTGAGAACCTCAAGATCTTTGGTGGCAAGGTTACCCACAGTTGAAAAGCAGTTTTGGTGTGAATATGCAACTGAAGCAGGCCTTTTTGTGCTATGTCCTCTTTCTTGAGTTGTCCCGTGTGGAACACTTGGTTGTGGTATAATTAGCTGTTCCATACTTCTAGTTACCATATTTTCCCTGTCATGGGACTTGTAAAAGTCTGAATACCTAGAAGCATGTATTGCTAGCTGGCTTTTGGGCTGTTCATGACTATTGTGGCTGTCTGCAATGTTGCTACTTGTATCATGCTCTATAATACCTTTATTGAAGGAATCATCTACCTCATTTACTCTTGTTAGAAAAGGATCATTGCTCCATCAACTGGATGGGCAACTGCTATGGCTGGGAGACTTGATGCCACATGAATTACCACATTAGCTTTATCAGTTGGTTTAGCAGGCATATTCATTACATGAAAATCATCAATAAGATGGATAACAAGTGTTTTGGTCTTAAAAAAAATTAATATCCATTTCATTGATTGCTTATGTTTTTACAAAAGTGTTTGTTTATTGTTCATTCTATTTGTTCTGCTTTATCCTGCAGGAGATGTGGCCCAAGAACAAACAGGAGATGTAAAAGAGATGTGGTGCACGAGTCTCACAAAGTGCGTGCATATCATCAGGTCTGTATAGAGATTGACCTGCACTCTCATAGTGCCTGTGCAAGGCTGAATGAAAATTTTCCACCAGCTCTGCAAGATTATGTAGAAAATGCAATAATAATGTATTTGACCACTCTGTGAGTTATATAGAAATATTTTCAACAATGAACATGTGTTTACTTGTAAAATATGAGCTCAGTGCAGAACCTTTATCAGTGTTATATTATTACCTGATTGATGTTGTCATGGAGATGTTTAACCCTGCAGGTGCAATCATAGCATAACTATGATTATTAGCAACATGGTGGATTGGTTACCTTTATTAGATTATGTCCAGGTGTAAGTAAGGTACTTACTGTGATTAATGTTGAGAAATTGGATTTACCAGCCTGTGCACCAATTTCCTGACTCTCTCTGTTGAGCTATTGAATTGTGGTAGAGCAGTAAGTTTTGCAGCATACATTTAACTGTCATAGCTTGTTAATCACATTGACCATCTGTCAAATCTGCTTGGCAATCCTGCTGAATTTTGCATGGCACCCATCTCCATTTTGCATGAATATTTTTTGTTTAAGTTATTGATCTTCTCATAGAAACAAGGTGATCATTTGCTCTACTGTAACTGCGACTGTAGTATGTAAACCCAGGTTATCCAGCAGGAAATGAAAGCCTTTGAATATAACTACCTAAAGTAATGTGGTCCTTGGGGCAAATGTTTGGTCAGCATTGCTCCAACAACTTGTGCACCACAGTGTCCCTGGTTGATAACAAGCCTCACTTTTTCCAGCATTGTCAAATAGTTTGCACTATCTCATGGGAATAGGTATATCACTCAGAGGGGAAGAATGTGAAAGTAGTGGGCACGATCAGGTGTCGCTCCTTTTTCGAATTGCTGATAGTGACATTCAGACAACATTTCCTGCTTCCACCTCCGCCACGAGTTATTTCAGTGGTAAAGGCAATTATGCTTCCTCTACAAGATGTTATAAACTCGTAAAAACTACACTTGTACTCTTTGCATTCGTTTATTAACCTATCGAGATGAATTGTGTTCTAAAATTGTACGTGTAGAAAAATATATACAAGTAATTGGGTCATAGTCTAAAACTGGTCAATCAAGTTGGAATAAAACACGATCTGTACAAACAAAACTATAAATGCGTGACTAATCGTTGCATAACAATTCGATTACGAAATACACGCGACTGTTCGTGACAGTTCTTGACACTCCTCCTAGTTGTTCACTAAAGTGAATCAACTACACGCATTGAAATAAAACCTAAAATGTCCTGGCAAGGTTCAGTGTTCAAAGTTCGCACTATATACATTGACAACAAACACGGTCTTCGAAATTGTTCAGTTTTTATCCACTGTTGTTTCACTTCAGTTGGGATTAGTTGCTGAATCGGTCGTCGTAAACGTTGATTAGAAGTAGAACTGGTTCCACGTGGCAAGGTAAGTATTGCCGCTCGCACAGACCCGTCACCTCCAGGCAGCAGTTGTTCTACTTTGGCCAATTTCCAAAACGCTCGTGCAACAGAATCGTTCTTGAGAATCACGACATCTCCGACCTTGAACTTCGCATTAACGTCGCATGCACTTGATCCCATCGCAACTTGCTCGCGTAAACTGGTCAGGTATTCGTTCCTCCACCGACGCGTAAACTGACTTAGCAAATGTCGATGATGCTTTAATCTCTTGGTTAAAGAATTGTACCTGCTCGTGATCTCGTAATGCTGACTGTTGGGATTCAGTGCAGTGATCCGTCGGCCATAAATTAAGTCGGACGGAGTTAACGGGTAAGAAACTGACTCTTTGTCGTCATAAACGTAAGTAAGCGGTCTGGCGTTGATCACTGCTTCTACTTCGGTTAGCAAGGTACACATTTCGTCGTAACTCGCAGTAGACCCCCCAATAACTTTCTTGATGGGTGACTTGATACTTCGAACGAGTCTCTCCCAGTAACCTCCCCACCACGGCTCTTTCTCAACGATAAAATTCCAAGTAATTCGGTTGTCAGTTAAGTATTTCCAGACTTCTGGTGATCTAGCAATCTTTCGAATTTCTTTGCTGAAAGATTGAAACGTTTTCGCGTTATCGGATTGTATCGTTGCCGTTAATCCTCGTCTACTGGCGAATCTGCGGAAGGCTAATAAGAAATCTTGTACAGTCAGTCCACGTGTCAATTCCAGATGAACAGCTCTAGTTGACGCTCATGTAAATAGACACACGTAAACTTTGTTGGAGTCGGAGTCGCTCGTTTGTAAACTTCTACGGGTTTCTTTGACGTACAATAGTCCGGCGAAATCCAGTCCGATGTGTGTAAAAGGCGGATCGTCGGAGACTCGATGACTTGGTAAATCGGCGAAATGTGAGGGCTTGCATGGTGATGCTTCGTACCTGCGGCAAACAACAGAGCGACGGATAACTTTCTTTTCTGTTGCGCGTCCACGCAAAACCCAGTATCGCTCTCTCAAAGCTGTCTGTGTAGCATTGATTCCTGAATGCTTGACCCGATTGTGAGTTTGTTTGATTACAAGCTTTACGAAGGTGTGCTTTGCTGGCAAAAGAATTGGAGACTTGCTAGAAGTGGGTAGTGAAGCGTTGGAGATTCTTCATTTGCATCTGATTGTCTGGTCCTCGCTAAGAAATAACCCAAACTGAGCTACTCGAATAGGGGGCGTAGACTTGAGCTTTTCCGATTAAGAAAGGAAAGTTCGTCGACAAACGCAGTCGTCTGTACCGATTTGATCCATAAGGTTTCAGAGTTCATTAATTCGTCTGCTGTTAATTCCTGGTTTAAATCTCCATTATTCTTTCCTTGTACTCTCTGTTGCTGTAACGCTCAATGTCAATTATCTTGTCAATTCCACGGTCGAGTGAGTCGCTGGTGACGGTATTAACCATTGAATGCGTAATGACCTTTTCGTTCTTGATCTCTTCTCGCTGAATTTCTTCTTCCTCGGTTTGTGCTGTTTGTGACATTTTAGGCCACTTGTTGACGGGATTACGCAGGAAATTTGGGCCATTTCACCAAGTATTACAAGTGGAAAGTTCTTTGGCGGTTAATCCTCGAGTTGGAAGATCGGCGGGGTTAATCTCTACGGGGCAATGTCTCCACGAATCTTTGTGTGTTAAGCAGCGAATCTCGTCAGCACGTTGGCCCAGTACTGTTTCCATACTCGTTCATTCTTAATCCAACAAAGCGTTGTCATGGAGTCTGTCCACATCACTGTAGGGGATTCGATGCCAAGGGACTTAAGTTTGTTTACGAGACGAGCTAAGATCAACGCTCCCAACAATTCCAGGCGAGGAATGGTTTGTCTCTTAATCGGCGTGACTCTCGATTTAGAAGCAACTAGTCGAACTTCAACTTGACCACCACTGTAGGTGCTTCGAATGTACACCACTGCGGCCTATGCACGTTCGGATGCGTCGCTAAAACCATGTAATTGTGTATCCACGGGTTGACGAGCAAAATAACAACGAGGGATGTGATAGCAATCGATGAGGTTTAAATCTTGAAGAAACAATTTCCATTTTCGAAGGGATTCTCCTTTCAGTTCAATGTCCCAGTTTGTCTTTTCGATGCACAGTTCTTGAAATAGGATTTCCATTTCCACTGTCAAAGGTGACAGAAATCCCATGGGGTCGGTTATCTTTGCTGTTACTTTGAGAAGCGATCTCTTGGTGAGCGGAAGTGAGCTTGCGTAATTGTACAATTCGGAAAAGCTGAAGATAATTTCGTCGTCGTGAGTGTTCTAGTTCATTCCTAAAACCTTCACGAAGATGTCTTCATCAATTGGCGTGTTAGAGCTGAGATCCTGAGTGTTTGATCTGGCGTACGATTCGTCGTCTTCTTGACTCTCTTCTTTGTTGTTACTGTGGGCGCTTATTGACTTCGTCACGCTTTCTGACTTCGCGATTGCTCTTTGTACTTCTAGTGAGTTGGTCTTCCACTTTCTGAGGTTAAGACCTCCTTCGGACATCAACTTCTTTGCTCTATGATAAATAGCGAGAGCCTTTTCTTCGTTGCACTTCCCCGTTAACAGATCATCCACATAGAACGATTGTTCTAGGAGCTCGACCATTTCTGGGTCACTTTGCTTGTACAATTTGAGATGATGCAAAATTGTGGCTCCTAAAATAGCCGGCGAAGGATGAAGCCCAAATACCAGTCGTGTGAACTTGAGATGAATGATCTTCGGGTTCTCTAAGCTTGGGTTGTCAAACCACAAAAATCGGAGGAAATCTCGCTGATCGTCCTGAATTCCAACCATCAGGAAAGCTTTTACAATGTCAGCGGTAAGGCCAACAATGTTCTTTCGGAAGTTAGCTATCATGTTAAAGACGTACGGTAGTTGGTTTGGGCCAGTTTGTAGGCAATCGTCCAATGATCTTTCTTTCTTGGAAGCCTTCGCTGAACCATCCATCGTACACGACTCGTACTTTCGTGGTTTCACGGTCTTTTCTGACGACTGCCAGATGTGGAAGATAATGGCTTCGAGACGTGTTGTTGTCGTTCTTCAAATCTTCGGCTGGCACTTCTTCGACGATTCCGGTTTTCAATTGTTCTTCAATTATGTTGTCGTATTCCGACAGCAGCGACGGTTCTCTTCGGAGCCTTTGGTGTAATGATCGTAGCCGCGACTCACATAAATGATAACAGTTGGAAGACGGCAGGCAATCTTCTTTCCAAGGCAACTTGACCTGGTACCGATCTTCATTTCTCTTCACGTTGATTTCAAATGATTCGTTTTGGACATCTCCGTCAGTTGTTAGCTCGCTGATACCGACTGATTCCGTCTCCCAAAAACTTTTGAGAGTGTTTGCTAGAACGTCATCTTGACTCGGTTGAAATATGAGTGAGTTGTGGCGATCGATAATCAAATTGAGTGTGTGATGTAACTTGTGTCAACTGTTTCATTGAGTGGACCGGATAACTTTCTTCGCCTCGTTTCGTCTCCCCAGTCACAAAGTTCCAATAGTAGTCCGAACCGGTCAGTAGGTCAATCGAGCTTCCGGAACTGCACGGTTCATCAGCCAATTCCAGACCATCCAAGTGCGCGTAACTCGTACACACTTTCGCGGGTAAAGGCGAGCAGATAACAGGAAAAATCAAGGCAGAGATTGTAATCGGATCATCGTGTTCTGACTTTCGAAGTTGCAAATTCACCACGTCGCAGCTCTGCTTCTTGAACTTTGACTCGCCAAACGTGTTTAGATTTAGCTTTTCGGTTTTCAGAGACTTAAGTTGCAACCTGGATCGTAAGCTATCTGTGATATATGACCGTTGACTGCCATTGTCGAATAATAATCTGATTGTCGTCGATTTCGTTCCTTCGTCATTTGCCGCGATCGCGGTGGCTGTTTGCAATAATACTCTGAGTGTCGGGTTTGCATTTTTGAAGTGGTGGTCGCCGTTGTAGTGCCAGCATTTTCGACGGCCTTATTGCTTTGCTCTCCTGATGCGGGGTGGGGCGGCTTACTTGCGTTACGGGGCGAGTTGATGGTTTGTTCTGGGCAAATCGACTGATGATGTTTTCTGTTGCACTTTCTGCAACTTTTGTCGCATTGTTCTGAATTGTGCTTTTTTCTCAAGCATGTAAAACATCTTTTATCCCGTTTCAGGATTGCCTTTCGAGAGCACATGTCAGTTATCTTTGGACGCGAGGCAGAAAAATGCATTTCTGAGCAGTAAACACATGTGGGCGTTGGCAATGGTGGTGTCGAATCCACTAGAAAGGAACCAGTTGTCGGAATTTTCGGAAGCTGAGGTCGTTTAGGCTCCGTGTTACTTGACATGGCTTTGATCTTCTCGCCAATCTCTCGCGCTTCGATTTCGTTCTGAATTACGTTAAGAATGGACTCGATATCCCAAACATCTTCGGTGGTGTTTCGGGCGACGTGTACTCTGATTTCAGGGGGAAGTTTGGCCATGATGATAGGAATCAGTAAGCTTCCATATTGACTTGCTTTCACCCCCAGAGCTTCCAGACCTCGTATGTTGACATTTAGTTTGTCGTAAAGGTAACGAAGTTGATATGGTTTGTCTGTTGGACATGTAGATATCTTCAAGAGTTCATCCATGTGCGCTGAGATGAGTTGCTGTGGTTTACCGAATCGCTTGTTGATAATTTTGTTGGAAGTTCTTTCCACAGCCGCGAACTTTTGTTATTCTTGTGGTAAAGAGCTTAATGAAAAAGCGGATGAACCAAAACCTGAAATTAGTGATGATTAACAACAGAAGTGTTCCATCGCAGTTACCGTTACGATGTTATTGTTCATTAGGGACCTTAAGCAGTCAGGACGGCAACACCAAGGAAGACACACCTCAACTTCACCGCAACGTATAAAAGAAGCGTTGAGCTCCAGATGGAAATTACGAAAATTTGCCGTCGCGGTTTCGGTTCGCAGACGACGCAAATTGTGGTGATTTCACGTTGTTGTTTTGCATAAGACGGCTAAGAAATGTACAAAGTTTTAAAACGCACGTGCTGAGCTATTCTGCCAATTAGATCTTTTGTTTTTCCATGTCCTCGTCGCCGTCATGGTTTGCTTAAGGTCCCTAATTACTCGAGAAGAACGGCCACAAGATGCACCTGAGAACACTTAAAAGAAGGCTGATTGATCTAGGACTGAAAAGAAAAGGAAAAACAGAAATGGACAAATCCGAGATTGAATTACTAATTAGAAGAGAAATCGAAGGTGCAGGAAGACTTGCATTCCTTAGTTGTCATTTGGCACCTGTAAACAGTTTGTTTCCCAGGTTTAGGAAAACTAGTGTATCAAACTGAATCGTAATTAAAATTGATTTCGTAATTGACATTGATTGTACAGTTATATTATGACAATTAGGTATGGTGTTTAATATATCATCTCCTAAATTTACTAGCGTGCAATACCCATGTAACTGTAATGAAGCGAGCATGTGACTAAAACAAACAAAGTGTAAATTTTAAAATGTAATATATATTACTTCTTAAAGATTTTTACTTAAGAGATAATAATCCAACAAAAACTTTTTTTCTAAATGGTGAACTTGTTTTTCAAATGCTCATCAAACAGACAAGCAAACCACACAGGTTAGCAGTTTCTATGGTAAATCCACACTTCGTGATGGTTGCAGCGTGAGTGATGATTACAGCACAATCACGTGCGCAGCAAATTTCGTCAAAAAACTGATCACACTGAAGTTAAAGGTAAGTTTGTGCTTTCCTCACAAACGAAACGTCATTAAAAAGATCTAGAATTTCTACTGTTAAGTAATTCTTTATTGGAAAGTTAAATTAGCAATTTAATCCGTGACAACGCGAATTTTTGTTTTTTAAGTTGTTGAGTTGAGATCCTATTTTCCGAGCACGCGCTAGTAATGCGTATACCGTCACCATAAAAGGGTAAACAGCATATATCTTGTGAAACAGATTGAGACAATTGGTAATTTTTCATAGTGAAAGTCAGATAAATAAAAAAGCGCGAAAAAAGCTGAATTCGCGGTGAGAAATCGAACCTCAGAAACAACAAAAAATAACCCTTTAACCCCCGAGGGTGACAAGCATATAATTTGTCCTCACAATATCCCCCCTGAATCAAACATTATGGTCATGAGAATAAAGGAAATGATCACCAACTAAAGAAGCTCTTGATTGTTAAAAATATCCCTTGTTCGGTATCCTTGAAAATGTACAGGGATCAGTAAGGAGAATATGCATATTGATGTTAGGTTGTAAGGGGTTAAGCAACAGAAAACTCGTTGGT